CACACACACACACACACACACACACACACACACACACACACACACACTAGTAAGGAGCCTCCAACATGTACACTATATTTCTAATCTTACCTACACATTTACCTCTGGGATAGTCAGCAACAGCAGTCCAGAACACCAAGCATATTGTAATAAAAGAGAAACCTGTATTTACCCTTTTGGTTATTGCTTTTGGTAAAGTGCCAAATTGCAGTGGGATCTCTGCTGTGTGATCAATCCGATTATTGATATCTGATGGCACTGATTCTGCCCTCCGCATCCTTGGCACTACAAACACATTCAAGCATTAGCTCATTTTACATCACAATATATAATAAAAGATTAGTTCACACATTTTCAACAAAACAGTAGTAACTTTTCACCACATAATCCACATAATCCACCACATAATCCAACACATAAACTGGATGAATGTAATCATTCATCCAGTTCATACTGGCTTTTATAAGATCCCTTCCTAATGTGCTTTTGTGCAATAATACATCCCAAAGTGTACAGGAAACTAATGTGAGGTTTCAGCAGTCTGACAAAAACAACATTTCCTTTTTGTTACTTTCTCACCACAGCAGCTCAGCACAGAATCACTGTCTGCTCATACTACTTCATACTACCCCCTTAACACAGAGGATTCCAGTCATCAGTCCAGGAGCATTTTGTGGGTCCAATCGGTGCACTTTCTGTTTGAGTTGAATCATTGTACACAGAGCAACACAGAATAACCGTATGGCAGACTCTACAACTCCTGCAGTAACTACGTCTACTACAAAACCCTCTGTGATGGATACAGAGAGCAGCGAGACCTAATGCACCTTTAAAGAGACCTTGGATCCTCGTCGACATGCAGCAGCATGACACAGCCTGACAACAAGCATGAACCACAAACACACCCCAAGACTTGGGCAAAACTGTGAACCTTTGCTGTAAGAAGGATCCAGAAGTAACTCATGTTGTTATGATCTTGGTCTACTTGTCAGTTAGCAATAACATGGTGCATGACAGGCAACAGTTAAACAGAACCAGCTCATTTGTGGAGCTCAGATCCATGCTCTGTAGCCACTCACTGCTTGGGGCAAAGAGGCACGCTCTGTGTTTCAGGTAGGTAAAGAAAGATCAGGGCGTCCTGGTGTTCCTGGGGTTTAAGATGCAGACTATGAAGTTACTAGTTCCAGTCCAGCAGGCACCTTTGTTACATGTTATTCCTCATGTCTCCTCTCATTTCATCACAGCTCTGTACTGTCCCCTGTGTAATCAGGTCAGAATAGAATAATTCATTAAAAAACATCTACTGTATTGAATGATATAACTACATTACAACTGAATAGATATAAAGCAATAAAGGACACTGTTAACTGGTGCTAAAGCTGCATCAAGTCTTAGCTCTACACTCCTCAAACTGATAGAAGCATTGCTATGCGGACGACTGCATCAATGCAGTGAAAGAACATAATCAGAGTTTGGTTTCAGTTTAGCTCAGTGGGAGTCTGCACTGCGTTTTGCCCTCTCTCGAGCTGTGCAAACACACACGTGTTACATGTTGGAGATATTTTCACTCAAATGCAGTTGAAATAAAGGTAATAACGGGAAAAGTACAACCTTTACCAACATGTTGACCAGATGTCTTTTCACTGCAAATCACCTGAAGCACACTTAATGTTCTGAGCCGCTGTCAGCATGATGTCATTTTTTATTGGAAACATTAAAATTTCTCTATCACTCCTATTGAGATGTACCCAGACATTTGTGCTTTCCCTCAGTGGAAACGTTCACTTCAGCTGGACTCTGGACTGCCACCACAGTAAACAGCCCTACACACACACACACACACACACACACACACACACACACACACACACACACACACACTTCACCAGATGGTCTGTAGACACAGCTGACTTCCTTAATGCACTTGTCCTGAGATGTTATGAGCTGACATACCCCTGCAGTAAATCACCAGAGCATGAGCAACAATCGTAAGGTATTTAACTGGAAATTCAATTTTGAAAAAGGTAAAGTGTAAAAAAGTGCTTACATGTGAGAAATGATATCCGACATGAGGGAGCATCTTTGGTACATTTGTTGTGGCACTTTAACCTGTGAATAGATAGATAAAACAGATGATAACCGTAACAGGTGGTAGTATAATCAAACAGAGCAGGAAGGTTATATTTACACTCTCTTACTTGCAGTGTTTGCACTTGACACCAAACATCATGCTCCTGCGACACACTTGGCACGTCTGGGAGAGCCAGGACTTGGTTGAAAACCTACAAAAGGAAGAAAAAACATTTCTTTATCACAATGACGTTCAGATGAATTCACCGAATGCCAGTCAGCCCCTACATTCAGTGACTGTAGTATTGAATGCAGGGTTATCTGGTTCGGGACTGGAGACTCCACATTAACAACAGAAAGCAACAGGAAGTTAGCCCCACAGGTGCTAAAGGAATGTTTTGGATCCAGTGTTGTTGGAGCTTGACCCATATTAAGCACTGAAAGGCCTTTAAAATGATCTGACTCTTATTGCTTCTTCAACTTCATGGTGCAATACTAAAACTAAAGTTATACTTCACAATATATCGCCACAGCAACGCATGTACTGTACATGACTTTACAATGGCAGAGGTGTTCATTTACATTTTACATTCTCTGTGACGAAGGGTTGCAGTGGACATGGCTTTATTAAATGTGTTAATAAAAAGTTCAGAATTCTTCCCTTTATAAAGCCCCTTAATGTTGTTATCACTATCAACACTGTCGTCTGCAACTACAAAAGCACACATAATAATAATTCGTCATAATTCTTGTCTTCGCTTGGTGTCAGTCGCTGCAGCCCCAATGTGTAGTTACATTTTGGAGGATGTGCAGCTACAACGTAGTCAGGGCCACACTCCTGTATGCGTAGGCTCCATAGATGTGACCTCATCTCTTAAGAACGGTTGCAAAATTCTGGGAATATTCAAGGCGGAAACTTTCCATGGGAAGTTACAGGAAATATTATGACTAAAATGTAAATAATGGGGTAACTTGTCATATGCAGATAGAAACAAACATTTAGCATTATAAGCAAATGATCTGCCAAATGATCTTCCATCACATGTGATGGAAGATTGGGGTGGTTTGGGGCGAACGTGGCTCACTGGGTTAAGAGGGTTGTCTGGGAACCGGAAAGTCAACGGTTTGATCCTCGACTGGGACGTGTCACATGTCGAAGTGTACCTGAGCAATACACTGAACCCCAGGCTCCCCGGGCGCCTGTCATTGGCAGCCCACTGCTCCCTATATACAGGGATGGGTCAAATGCAGAGACAAATTTCCCCCTTAAAGGGATCAATATAGTATAATAAATTAAGATGTTGGTAATGATTCAATAAAATGGGCAGACTTTCAACCCAAACATCCCATAAAAGCTCAATTAGCTTTTTAAGCTAAACCCCAAATAAGTTTGCGATTAAAATTAGGAATGCAACGATCTGACTTTTTCAGCCGCAATGTGGAGTTGACAGTAACTGACCTGTGTGTTACAGCCAGGCCAATGTCTCTCCTCATTGTCTGAGGGGAACTCCTGTGCATGGTCACATCTGTGAAGAACATTACAGCGATGCATGTCAAAAACACAAAAAGAGATGATAGGAAAAATAAACAGAATCACAGAATCGTAGAAGGACAAGGGAGCAGGACTCTAGGCCAGTATCTGTGATGAGGACTCACTGTCCAGCAGGGTGGGGGTGGCAGGCATCATGTAGGGGGCTGAGGCTGGGACGGGGCCGGGCGTTCGGGCAGACAGTAGTGGTGAGTCCTCAGGACTGTTACCACAGCCGTTGATCTGAAGAGCACCCAGCGCTTTGTTCTTCTTACCAGCTCTGCAAAGACAGACAGCAACTAAAACCACTGTATACAGCAGGTCACTTCATCCTGTGACACTGTGAGGGGGCGGCTGCACCGCACAGAGGCATGGCATCGCTGATGCTGCTACTTCTAGAGACTGAAACTGATGAAATTTAATATCAAATCAATATAAAGTAAGCCTATGGCTTCAATGTATTCAACAGAGATCAACTACACCATGTCTGAATAGAGACTAGTCTCTGTTATCTATCCATCTCTCTGTCCTTTCTAGGCCCATCAGCACCAAGACTGCATTATTAGCTCTTTTGGATTAACCAATCACAGCTCTTTAAAAGAATGTGTCATACCCATCACCGTGCCCATCAGATTTCTGTCCCTTCCTTTCCTGAATCACTCCTGATGTAGAAATGTTGCGGCTGAGTGAGGAGCTCCGAGAGGATTCTACATGTTTGGGAATACGACCACTGTCTTTAGACCACTATGGAAACACAGACACCAGTGGGCTGAAGGAACCTCGAGGTTCCTTGAAAAGTAGTCCAGACATGTTTCATTGCATTTTTTAAGTGTGTGTGTGAGTGTGTGTGTGTGTTGTTCTCCAGCAGCAGTACAGTACCTCAGACGAATAACTTCTGGAGATCACAAATATTCACAGCCAGAATTGTAATTGTTGGGTGATGTTTTCTCTGGCGTGCGATTAATTAAGCAGTAATCATCCAGTGTTTTCAATGTAACGACATACAGAATGGCTGAGGCTATACCGGAATGCAATAATGTATGTCTCGACTCTTTTAGCAGCTGAAATGTAAAGCACTGATCTGCCATCATTACCATTAACACATGACTGCAGCATCAGTTCAAAAACCCACTTGTGTGTCGCCGGCTCCTCGATGCGGTTGGCCAGCTGTGACTCCTGACTCTTGCTTCTCGTCATTGCAATGTTGGGGAGGAGCTGCAGCAGCTTACGTGAAGGTGGTGGTGGTGTGTGGGAGGGCTTGCCGGTGTGTGGCTTTGAGGCTCGAGTGGCTGGAGGGTTGCTTGGCTCCAGAGTGAAGGCGTCCTCAGTTAGTATGCAAGCTCTCTGGTCAGCTGAACAAGGTACCACTGATATGGAGATAGAGCGGCCGTGGGTGCTGGTGGGCTTCAGGGGGAGGGGGGGGCTGACAGAGCTGGAGGGGGGGCTGATGGGAGAGAAGACATTGCTGTCCTGTCGGGACTCAGAGCTGCAGGAGCCTGAGTCAGGCCTCGGATCACCTCGAGTCAAAGAGTAAAGATCCAAAATGAGTGCACAAGTAGAGTACAGGTTGTCACACATTACAGATGGTTGGGATGATTACTTATGAGTTATAATTATCAATGTATTCTGTCAAATGAATGTGAAAATTCAAATATACTATAATCCCATCTGAAATTGAGTTTAGTTTACCTTTACAATCTGCATAGAACACTCAAGGGCCAGTGTTACCACACAACAAGAAATGATGACTGAATGATGAACTGTATTTATGTTGCACTTCTCTAAACGAGCTGCAAAGTGCAGTAAAACAAACAGTCAACTAAAAAACGGGAATTTAAAAGAACAGTAAAACAGCCAGTAGCATTCAAGTATAAAACATTACCCACAATAACCTATTTCTATGGCAATGGAGCAAACCCCGTTAACTGATGCAGACCATCTGATACAGTTGAAAGCTCAGCGATGCCAATGCAGGACCCACTAGTCAACGTATATATTTGAATCCTTTTCAATGACTCAAACCAGGTAACACCTGCTCTACTGGCACACAGTGGACCTGGCTCTGAGGGCCTGTAGCTGCTATACTGGGTTGGTCTTCATGTTCTAATTTCAAATCAAGTATCAAAAGAAACCACATATCTAAGAATGCCTGTTTAGAACATGGTATATCTAAAACATCAAACAAAGATGGCTGTTAAATATATCACATAATGATTTATCAAAATTAAGATTAAACAGGATTAATAAACCAACCCCAGTACTATTTATAGCATTCCTATTAATGTTTGGTTTTCTGCAGGGCAGCCAGGCTCACCTGCGTCATCAGCACTCTTCAGACAGGAGAGGGCGGCAGTGAGGCGAGAGCGATCTTCTGAGTTGGAGCCCAGGCGTCTCATGGTGTCCTGCAGCTCAGAGCTGGAGCTGTGCAGCGAGCCGTCCACTGAGAGCTTCCCTGCTGCAGCCTGCAGGAGATAAGGAGGACGAAAATCTATTGCAGTCATCGTAGGACTTACAGAATATGACTAGGACTGGGTTTGTCTGGGCTCCTGTATGGGTTTCTACTTCTTTATGTTGATAAATGTCTAATACACATAGTTGTCCCTGCACTGAACCTGTTCATGCATCAGTCACAGACTTCCCTAATCATGAAGACATATTAGGAAAATGCCATCAGCTAAAATAAGCACTGGTAGACTTTCATCCAAGCCTGCCAAGACCTAGAGAGTGCGTCTGCTTTACTACAGCCTACACAGTCACCATTCAAGTGCATCAGGACCTCTGACAGGCATTAGGAGCATCTCACAGGAGATACCATGGACCAGAAGATGTTGTTGTTTTACTTTAAATGGCTACTGATATACATACGTGTAAAGTGTTCAGCTGCCCAGGAGAGGAAGGACACGCTAACAGGAACCCTTGTAGTAAATGTCCGTTTCGTGCATCGCATGCATTTTGAGCCTCTTTTCGAGTGAATGGGATACTGACATGATGTAACAGACTCTTTGACTAGCTGGCCTTCAAGAGCAGAACAATGATTAGACCAGAACACGACTCCTCATCACAATATTTGCTATGTGTGAGGCAGCTGTCAGGTAGTTCAGATCAGAAGTTATTGCAGGTTCACAATACAGTTAGTCAGGTGTACGTAGACCTCTATGTACAATATGCAGCACACTGGAAGTGAGTGTAAGACAAAACAAGCATGCAGAGAACATATCCTGTCTGTGACCAGGGACCATTCTATAGTGATCCTCAAATCCCAAACCAGAATTACTGAATGGAGAAGTTATGTTAATGCTTCATTCTTAAAAAAAGAAAAAGGGAGGAAAAGAGTGAGTCAGCAGGATTTAGCAGTAAAGACTAGTCTCTCTACTGTATGACATCCAGAGGTTTGCTCATGTCAAAAAGAACGTCAGGCTGTTCCAGTGGGTGTGCAGTAGGCCACACTATGCAGCCGTTACAATGACATATTAGCACATCTAAGCCTCATTCGCTTTGCCTCAATAAAGATACTCATCTTAATTCTGCTGAATGCTGAGCTTTGTAGTTAAATTTCAGAGAAGTCCGTGATTATTTAAACAAGAATAACTGGTTCTAAAGGGGCACAGCTGAAAATTATAATCTACAGCAACGCAACAGGACAAGCTTCAACAGAGTTTATGCAAGTGGAGAAGGGAAGGTATTCTGTGAAGAGCTGGCTCAGCTGACAGCTGGGTGTCTAGAACATGGAGCTGTCAACAGGCCGAGCTACTTTTTATTCAGTGGCAATTAAAAGAAAAGCCCGTCATAAAGGAACGATTGGCCCGTTTGCAAGCAAAAACAAGAAATAAATGAGAACAAGTCAGTATGAGAAGTAGCCGTGGGTCTAAACTGTTTAAAACCAGTCTACTGTCTAAAATACCAAACCTGATGCAACAATGATTCCTGGAATCTGCTGGCAAACCGTGAAAACAGAGTTTACTCTACACTGCTTTTATTTTACTGGAATGTGTTTTCTCAGCCCTTGTTGTGTGTGTGGGGGTGGGGTGGGGGTGGGGGGGGGGGCTTAATCCCCTGGCAACTGGCTGTTTCCTGCATTGTGTCCATGGTAAGTGAAATGGACAGGCTGTAGTAACAAAAGGCTCAGTAATTGCATGTGATGCATCCGGGAGACAATGAGACTGAATTTGACACTTCTATGTTCTGTGCATACATATACAATTGTTAAGTTCGGCTGAAACTAATAATAATAATAATAATAATGCATTTTATTTGTAACGCACTTTTCATTAAAAAAATCTCAGAGTGCCACAGAGCCAGTACATAGTAAAAAACAAACGTTAAAACAAACTAATAAAATAACTAGTAAGCATAAAAAAAACACTGAATGAACAGAAACACAAAAGAAATAACTGACAGTGATTTAGGTCAGAAACACCTTCCTGAAGAAAAAGGTTTTTAGGCCAGTCTTAAAAGAGACCAGTGTCTGTGTTGCCCTTAGGTGGTCAGGGAGACTGTTCCATAGGCGCGGTGCTGCCGAGCCAAAGGCCCGGTCGCCCATGGTGCGGAGCTTGGTGTTGGGGACCCGAGGAGCGAGCTGTTTGATGATCTGAGGGGGCGGGTGGAGATTTGGGGAGTAAAGAGTTCTTGTAGGTAGGGAGGTGCGTGTCCATTTATGCATTTATGTGTGAGTAGTAGGACTTTGTAGTCAATCCGGAATGAGACAGGGAGCCAGTGTAGTGAGGGTAGAGTGGGTGTTATGTGCTCATATTTCCAGACTCATTAGGATCCTGGCAACGCTGTTTTGAATGTATTGCAGCTTCTGGATGTTCTTGCCAGTGATCCCAGTGAAGAGTGAGTTACAGTAGTCCAGTCTTGAGGACATAAAGGCGCGGACAAGCTTCTCTGCATCTGACAGGGTTAAAGTGGGGCGGAGTTTGGAGATGTTTTTGAGATGATAAAAGGAGGTTTTGCACAGGTGTTTTATATGGTCATTAAAAGGCAGGTAAGGGTCAAACCTAACTCCCAGATTAGTGACTGTGGAGGAGAGGGGGATGACCTGACCGTCGAAGGTGAGATGAGTTATGGAGGATGACTGAACCTGGTGTGGAGTGCCAACAAGGAGGGCTTCGGTTTTGCTACTGTTTAACTGGAGAAAGTTGTTGCTCATCACGCCTTTATCTCCTCAAGACAGGCGGTGAGACATGACATGGCTGCAGAGGGGCTTGGGGCAGCTTTGATGTAGAGCTGTGTATCGTCGGCATAACAGTGGAAAGACATCCTATGTCTGCCGATGACACGACCGAGGGGGAGCATGTAAGTAATGAAGAGGATGGGACCGAGGACCGACCCTTGCGGAACACCACAGGAGACAGGGAGCAGTCTGGACTTGCATCTTCCCAGTGAGACATATTCAGTTCTGCCTGAAAGGTAGGACTGAAACCACTTGAGTGCAGAGTCTGATAGTCCAATGGTGGTGTGGAGGCTCTCTACGAGGATAGTGTGATCCACTGTGTCAAATGCAGCAGTCAGGTCCAGGAGGATGAGGAATGAGGGTGATCCTGCATCGGCTGTCATCAGCAGGTCATTCGTCACCCTGAGCAAAGCTGTTTCAGTGCTGTGGGCTGAACGAAATCCTGAGTGACATTTTTCAAACAAGTTGTTGTGTTTGAGGTGGTCCTGAAGTTGAGAAGCAACTACCTTCTCTAACACTTTGGACAGGAAGGCGAGGTTGGAGATAGGCCTGTAGTTGGCTAGAACCTCCAGGTCCAGGGTGGGCTTCTTGAGAAGGGGACAGATGACAGCAACCTTGAGTGCAGGTGGGACACAGCCGGACTGAAGGGAAAGGTTAACAACTTTGGTGATGAAAGGACTGAGAGTGGGGATACGTATGTGATTTGAGCAGAGCAGTAGGAATGGGGTCCAGGGTACAGGTACAGGATTTCATTTTTCTGAGGATTTCCTCAACATGGCTCTCCTGAACCTCAGCAAGATGTAGAGGAGACAGCACACTCGCAGATAAGGTGTTGGTGTCAGAGGGAAGCATAGATAGCTGGACATCAGAGAACTAATATGAGGCTTCAGCAGTCTGAGTTCAACAATTTAGGTGGGCATCTTCTAATGTTACAGTCTTTTTAGTATATGATTCTCCATGTCTGGTTCCCACACTGCTAGTGTGATGTAGGTTTGTTCCCAGAATAATACAACTGCCAGGATGACAAATGCAAGACTTGATTTGACTAGTTCAAACCATTGAGGATCCCAAAGTCATGTCCTCAGTACTTGTTAGGACCGCAGATCTATAAATGCATATGTGTAGAGCAGGGGTGCCCAATACGTCGATCGTAGTGCGGGTAGATCGCATGCCATTCAAAAAAAATTTGATGTCCGCATGGCATTTGCCACTTGATTTTCTAACACACCACGTATGCGCGGTCAACCGCGCGAGCTACTGCAAAACTCCTGCGAGCTAATTAGTTAGCCTTCCAATTTATTTCTACTAAAGAAGCTAAAGCTGTAGGGCCATGATTTGGGAAACTTCCAAAACCTCGCGTCAGAACTGGAGACTCAACGGAAGGCGTGTGCGTAACTTGACAGTGCGCGCTACACAGAGCAGATTGACAAGTATCTGTCAGAGTTTGACAAACGCTTTCAAGACTTTGCTTTACTCGACCCAGTTGCTACACTTATGTGCTGCACATTTCGGGAAGATATTGAGGTTGATTCACTCGCATCAAAAATTGCAACGCTGTTTCACCTGAACTCGTCTGGAGTGGAGGATGAGATTTTGACACTGCAAGCTGACATTCACCTGAAGTCCAGGGCTCATGGACAGTTTTCTCACAGAGGAAAAGTACCCAAACATGAGGAAATGTGATACCTTCTTGACTGCATTATTCGGCTCTACTTATTTATGTGAGTCAGCCTTTTCCCACATGAAGAACATTAAGTCCATACACCGTTCCACCAGGACTGATGATCATTTGAAGTCTGCTTGAGGCGGGCTACCAGCAGCTACTGTCCGGACTATGCAACTCTGGCCAATCCCATTCAGTGCAAGTCATCAGAGTAAGGTAATGACAAAAAATGTACAGAATTGTATTGTGCCATAAGGGTTCATGCAGGTTTGCAAGGTACGCCAACATATATTGTAAATATAAAGTATACTCAGTATATATATATATATATATATATATATAT